AGCACTCATCACGATCCATTACTCTGCGATGCCTCAGACAAGCAAAATAAAAACTTCCTCTGTTCTTCTCCACAGTGTAGTCCTTCCCACTTGAATATTTTGCTCCATAAACATTAAGGTTTACTTACATTCTCTGTTCAAATCTAGTCCACAAAAACATTCATCTCCAAAACTACAAATATTCATTATTTAAATCCCTCAGGGAGAGGGACATCGGCATACTGCTTGTTGTTTTTAGCAAACTCACTTCAAAATGTTCAAACTGTTCCTTCACTTTTATTGTAAACAAATTTGAGAAAAAAAGTAAGAACATATGTGTGTGTGCGTACATACGTGTGCGCTTGTTTGTGTGTGTGTGTAATTGTAACAGAATGACTGAGTTAGTCTGAGAGTTAATTTAATGAGCGGACAGCTCAGGCAGCTGTGGGAAACCAGGTTTCTGTTCTACAGAGTGTGTCTGCGTCTGCAGCTTGTTGGGACGTTCAGCTGAAGGTGAAGTGTCGGCTTTTCTCTGCGAGTTGGCCTTCGGTTGTTAGGGTTGCCATGGCGATGAGGGGAGGCTTGCTTTGGCGGCCTATAATTTCTGGAGGGTCTGTATGGAAGTGGCATGTCCTTTTCAGCTGCTGCGATGTTAGGCTGCTGATTTATGTGTATTTGTTGCGACTCCTTCTCCTCCCCTTTTCAATCAAACAGGAAACTGAAATTTGGTTGGAAACATCTAAGTTGAATTTCCCAGTTCATGTTTAAAGAATGAAGAAGACCAAGAACTGATTTGAGGAATGCATGTCACCCACTACTTTATTTCTTTATCCCCTCCACCATCTTGAGCCTGGTTGAGTCTGTTAGAGGAAAACACTCTTACTCTTACTGATGTCTACTCAAATGAACCACACTCACACACGACAGGTGAAGATTTATCTCTGGCACAATTTTATGCATGGTCAGATATCGGAACAGGTCACATCAGTATACATTAAATGTATGCACATGAAGCTTGGTCAAGAGAATCTGTAGTGTGCTGCATTGTCCGCTCACTTTTTGTATCCCTGTCAGCTTGACATGGTTTCAGTGAGTAACCTCGAAGCCAGCTGTAGTCACACATGACACTCCTGGCCTTCATAGATATGGTCCACGGGCATCTCTTCAGGATAAGGTATGGTACATGTCTCTCTTGTAAATAAGTCCCCGATATTCAGTGAGACTAACCTGTATAATTAAAGGTTGAATGAATGGTATTTTCAATTAAATTCAATTCAGTTTATTTATATAGCGCCAAATAACAACAAAGTTGTCTCAGGGCACTTTACAAAAACATTCACATACATAAAAGCCAATTAGTAAAGTTCTCTATCTAAGGAATCCAGCAGACAAGTTGAATCTTGGCTTCTTTGCAGTCTCCTATGGTACGGTATAAGGTATATGGTATGGTATATGGTATGGTACGGTATAAGATATGGTATGGTATGGTATATGGTATGGTACGGTATAAGATATGGTATGGTATGGTATAAGGCATGGTATGGTACAATGTAAGGTATGGTTTGGTATAAGGTACAAGATACGGTATAAAATATAAGATATAAGGTATGGTATGGTATGGTATAAGGCATGGTATGGTACAATGTAAGGTATGGTTTGGTATAAGGTACAAGATACGGTATAAAATATAAGATATAAGGTATGGTATGATATGGTATAAGACATGGTATGATATGGTATAAGACATGGTATGATGTGGTATAAGACATGGTATGGTATGGTATGGTATGGTATAGGGAGTGTTGGTGCGGAGGTTAGAGAAGGTGGGCCTGTGATCAGAAGATCACCAGTTCAACTCCCAGTACCGACAACATCAAAATGTGGGTGAGATAGGTGAAGCACCTACAACTGCCTCCACCCTCATTTGCCCTCCTCTGGGCCCTTGAGCAAGGTCCTTAACCCCCACTATCTTCTCCCCCGGGCACCCTAGACAGCAGTGCTTTACTCCACAAAGAGGGCTGTGGTAGCCCAGTGGTCTGTGGTTGTGTCAGGAAGGGCATCTGGGGTAAAAATAATTGCCGTCTTCATGCAACTTAGTTTGCTGTGGTGACCTCTGAAGAAAGGAGTATCCAAAATAAAAAAATAAAAATGGTATGGTATAAGGTATGATATGGTATAAAGTATGGTATAAGAGAGTGTTTTGGGAGATGATTTGTTTGTTTGTTTTAAGGGAAAGAATGTTAATAATAATACATCCATAACTCTATAGCCTCTGACCAAAATTATCTGACAGACACCAACAGTCACCGCTAAAGATTTCAGCAAAATGTTGCGCAACAAGTACAATTTGTAGTGTGAGCTCTGAATGTCTCTGTAATTACCACACCAATATTTAGCAAAATATTAGCAAAGCTGATTAAACTAAAGCCATTTTCTGTCTATAATCTGTCCAAGCTCCAAATATCCAGACGGGATAAGTCTCACATACTAGACACTAGATTTTAGCCTAATATCTGTAAAATTAGCTGAAATATTTTTGTGTGGATGTTTCTAAATCATCCTCACTGCTCAGATACGATTTTCTTTCTACGTTTTTCCTCATGCAACTCGTTCAGCAATTTTTCTTCTATTTCAGCAATTCAAATATCAAAACATTCACCTCATTCAGGACATTCCTTCTCTGACTTTTAGTGTTTGTGCAACTTTGTGAAATGCACTGCCTGGCAAAAAAAAAAAAGGTCATACACTAATATTTTGTTGGACCTCCCTTATCTTTGATTACATCATGCATTCTCTGTGTCATTGTTTCTAGAAGCTTCTTCAATGTCACAAGATCTGTTTAATTCAGTGTTGCATTAATGTTTCACCAAGATCTTGTATTGATGACTAGACACTATGATGGTGCATCACTTCACCTGCCTCTCTTCTGACCCTGATGCACCATCACTCTGGAACAGGGTCAGTCTGGACTCATCAGATCACATGACCTTCTTCCATTGCTCCAGAGTCCGATCTTTATGCTCCCTAGCAAACTGAAGCCTTTTTGTCCAGTTAGCCTCACTGGTTAGTGGTTTTCTTAAGGCTACACAGCTGTTCAGTCCCAATCCCTTGAGTTCCCTTTGCATTGTGCATGTGGAAATGTTCTTACTTTCACTTTTAAGCTTAGCCCTGAGTGCTACTGTTGTTTTTCTTCGATTTTATTTCACCAAACGTTTAAGTGATCGCCGATCACGATCATTCAGGATTTTTTTACGGCCACATTTCTTCTGTGAATACGATGAGTCCCCACTATCCTTCCAGTTTTGAATAATGTATTGGACAGTTCTTAATCCAATTTTAGTAGTTTCTGCAACCTCCTTAGATGTTTTCTCTGCTTGATGCCAATGATTTGACCCTTCTCAAACAGACTGACATCTTTTCCACGACCACATGATGTGTCTTTAGACACGGTTGTTGAAGAAATGAGAAGCAACTCATTGCACAGTTGGGGTTAAATAACTTGTTGCGGCTGAAAGATAATCGCCCATGCAGTAATTATCCAATTGGAAGCTCGTACCTATTTCCATCCATCCATTATCTTTTACCCACTTCTTCCATTTTGGGTCACGGGGGTCGCCGGTGCCCATGTTCAGCAATCACTTTGCGAGGGGCGGGGTACACCCTGGACAGGTCGCAAGTCTCTCTCTCTCTCTCTCGCTTTTTTGCACCTACATGACCCATGCTACAGGTATGACCGCAACACACTTTTGGAGTTTTGTGTGTCGCTGCATTGCCATTGCTCCATCGTGGTTCAGTTCTCGGCCCCCTTCCAGCCTCGGGTTCAGGCTCCGGCCTCTTGGAGGCTGTCACCATGACCTTCATCTGCCTGCATAGACCGAACTCTACGCAACAGTTCGGTTCTGCAGGGATACCTTGGATGTTCTCTGTCTACCAGATCAGGTTCTGGAGGGCAGTCTGGGAGGGCAGCTATTGTGGTTTTTAAATATAATGAAACAGCTAGCGGGACCTGCTAACAAGAAATACTAACGCTGTTAACAAACCCTGCTAACGCTGCTAACAGAACCACTCTGTTAACAGAACCACTCTGTTAACAGTACCATGCTGCTAACAGGACCACTGCTAACAGTCCCTTAACAAAAGTAGTACATTTGAAGTTCATTTTTGCAAGTATACTTTAAGTTAAGTATAAGTGTAAGTATACTACACCTATACTTGTAGTGTACTAGAAGTATACTGCTTTAATACTTGTTTGGACTAAACTGGGACATTTTTATACTATTTTTAAGTATATCAAATAAAGTTTATAAAAAGTAAACTTCAAGTACACTTCCTCATTTTTAGTGTAAAATAAGTATACTTGTAGTACACTTAAATAAAATACTTTTTCACTCTGCTAACAGGACCATGCTGCTGTAGATAGATTTCTTTTTCACTTTTGGTGCCTTGTTTTTGTATTTTGTTGCATGCTTTGGTATTTCTTGTTGGTTTCTTTTGGCAAGTTGTGATGTCCTGAGCATTTTGTTGCGTTATTGACTTTGTGTTGACTTTGTGTTGATCTGCATATAACAAATAAACAAACCTAAATGAGCATCTGTGCCACATTTTCACAGGAAATGTATTTATGTTGTGCTTTTTGAGGTCACTTGGCTGCAGCAGTCACCTTAAATTGGGTTAACTTTTAAAGGTCACAAGGTATAATCCAACTTTTCATTTCAAATTTTAATAAAATTCATGTAATGGTTCACAAGATATTTTGCTAACGGTCAGACTGACACAAGCACAGGTTGAAAACATTATAGGCCAAAAAACAAACAAACAAACAACAACAAAAAAAAAACTAAACAAATTAAAGTTGACTCTTTTGTTTGAGCAGCTTTGTTGTTTGTTCGTTCTTCTTTTTGTCCTCCCCCCAGTCAGTCCATCCCTCCCACAGCACCAGAGTCCAATCACAAGTCAGCCCTTCTCCCCGTCCCTTCACGCTCAGCCCGTTGTTTTCACTAGTTTTTCTTTTTTCTGCTCCCCCTCACGGAGCAACTGGAGGCTGGAGCAGATGCAGAGACATTAGTGAGCAGCAGACAGAGGACACCATGCAGAGAGGGAAGCTGCACCACTTCGATTCTTGATGAGCCTGATCCCTGAACACCACAAACTCTGTCTGTGCCTGATTCTCAGCAGGACCAAGGAATCAGACAGGAGAGACCCTGAAGAGGAGACGACCAGATCCTGACGGGCACAAAACCTCAGCTCAGGACAAACCGGGACAAACAAACAAACAAACAAACAAACAAAGAAGAGTCAAAGATAAGGAGGAGGAGAGCTCTACAGATGTGAGTGAATGCAGAGAGGCGAGAGATGCTCATAGGGGCCTGACGGTAAAATATAAAGTGCAACAAAAACTGAGCGAAAGGACAACCTGCCAGAGCCACTCAACTAAAAGCTGTTGCAAGAAAGAATCAGATCAGACCAGAGGAACAAAGTCAGGATGGCCAACTCAGGTCTCCAGCTGCTGGGGTATTTTCTGGCATTGGGCGGCTGGATCGGTGTCATCTCCACCACCGCCCTGCCCCAGTGGAAGCAGTCATCCTACGCTGGAGATGCTATCATCACCGCTGTGGGTCTGTACGAGGGGCTGTGGATGAGCTGTGCCTCTCAGAGTACCGGACAGGTGCAATGCAAGATCTTTGACTCCATGCTTTCATTGGACAGTGAGTATGACCAAGAAACACCTCTCAACAAATGTCACGTCTTTGCTTCTCTTTGAGTTGATCATTCCTGTTGAGCAGCTTCCAGAGCTGCTGTGAAACCGTTCTGTCATAAAACTAAACTCAACATGTTCCTTCAGATGTGTTCTTCTCTGCTCATTAACTGCCTCGTCCTCCCAAATATTTCCTTAATATCTACACAACAATTACAGCACAACACTTGTTCATTCATAGTCCTCTGAAAGCATTCATCACCCTCCCTGGTGATAAACTCTGTCTCATGATGTAGACGTTCCCAAACAGTAAATCTCATTTTAAATGTGCGTTTAATAAAGTTCTGTTGGCGTAATGAGTAGATAGAAGTGGGAGAGGGTGAGGAATGTGGGCTTCCAGCATAAATCAGCTCCAGATATGAGCCTCTTGTCATCTCTAATATAAAACCAAGGATCCAGCGACTCGTTGGCAATGGCGAACAGATTATTAGAGTCCACTCATTTACTGTAAATCATTCATTCGCAGAGTTTAATGAAGGCCTGTGAGGGTGGAGGAGACGAGGAGGGTGGGGGCTCAAGCAGAAAGCTTTTTTACCAAACAAAGAGTTTTCTTTGTGGTCACAGTCATTTAATTCAGTTTTTCGTTATATGGTGCTGGTTCACATCTACAGATGTCCCAGTACACTACACAACAACAAGTCCAAATCTAGCGAACAACACACCCACACTCAAACTTAATTACGATCAAATCAACCCGATTATAAAACGACACGTTCTCACACACAACATTTAGAGTTCAAGCTGTTTATCTGAGGAAGCCAGCAGATTGCAACAAAACTTCTTTTAGTAAAACAACCCATCATGAGTGGCACGTTGACAACACTGGAAACAAACGACTCCCTTTTAACAGGAAGAAATCTTGATCAGAACCAGACCAGAACCAGGCCCAGGATGGGCGGCAAACTGCCCCAACTGGCTGGAGTTAGAGAGGACAGGAAAGATACAGAGACAGACACAGAAGGACTGGTTCTGATGTAGTTCCTATGGTTCTGATGTAGTTCCTATGGTTCTGATGTAGTTCCTATGGTTCTAATGTAGTTCCTATGGTTCTGATGTAGTTCCTATGGTTCTAATGTAGTTCCTATGGTTCTGATGTAGTTCCTATGGTTCT